ATATATATATATATATATATATATTATATATATATATATATATATATATTTACTGCACATAAAATGAATGTTAAGACTATTGAGTGTCTGAAACTGTATGTGTACAATATTATTCACTAATATTTTGATATGAAGATAATTTCTTTTCTAAATATTTGTTTTAATAACATTACGTTCAATTTGGAAGCACTTCGAACGCTGATGACATCGGTCATGAATGATTGGCTAACTACGAAAAGCGACTGGGAACGAAATACAATGTTAAAGATTGCGAGACGCGGAAGAAGTTTATCTTTGAGATGTTATATATCCATAACATGCGCATGTATGTTTCATCTATGGATCTGTTATATAAAGTTTCGACGGAGCATGCATCAATCTCAACGGGTTCTCGTCTATCAGTTCAATTATCCTTACAACAGCCAGAAGAGTCCGAACTACGAAATTACCTTTCTCATTCAACTTTGTGGTGGCCTATTAGTTGCTTTAACTAACTGTACTATCGACAGCTTCGTTTCGATGTTCTTGCTACACGTGTGCGCACAACTGATAAATCTACGGGTAGCGCTTAATAACACAGTTGACAAATTAGTCAATAGAACCATGTCCACTTTGAAATTTAAAGAAGGTCTAATTGCAATTGTTTTACGACACGAACATCTCATCAGGTACGTATGTGTATATATTTAAGTAGCTAAAACAAATTGTTAGAAATATTTTCAAAAAATTTCAGTATCTGTTTCATATTTATGAGAACAAACATGTACAATAATATTTAAGCTAAAATTTTTCTTAATATAAAAGAGAAAGATTATATTTTTAGGCGGCATAAAAATTGAACTTATTAGTTTAAAATATAAATGACACAAAAAATATAAAAATGATTAATTCTAAATATTGAAAATTATGCTTCTAAATTCAGTAATTTTTTGAAGATTAAAATTTTGATAAAATAGATAATGTGTAACAAATAAATAATATATAAATTTTTAAGAAATGCGAAGACAATTAACGACTGCTATAGCAGAGTGTTATTTCTACAAATGCTAGCCGCTGCCTTTCAGCTGTGTTCTCAAACTTTTCAGATATACACGGTAAGTGTTGCAGTAAAATAACTTGTTTGTTCTTATTTTATAATGGAAAAATTGAATGTATTGGACTGATCAGAAAATTCCATCGAATATAACAATAAAAATCTATTGTGAAAATGTGAAGGAACTTTCTGATTAACCCACTATCTTAGAATTAGTAACAATATTTTTTCATTATAATATTTAGTGCGTTACACTAAAATTTTATGATAAAATTTACTAATGTATGGAACGGAAATACTTGAATTAATTAAAAAACATTACTTTTAGATGATAACAGACCATGCCTCAGACACACCTATTCTCAAACTAGTTTTTCTCTTTTTTTACGCCTGCCTTGTGTTGACACACTTCTACTTTTATTGTTATGCTTCTGAAAAACTTATAACGGAGGTAAAATATTTATGTACATGAATGAGAAAAATGCAAAACAAAAATGTTTTTTGTAGAGCACCTATATGGCGTACGGCGTATATCAATGCAAGTGGTACGATTTGCCATCGAAGGACGCAAGGGATTTAATGATTATCGTATATCGATCTAGGATTCCACTTAAATTAACAGCTGAAAGTTTCGGAATTTTTTCAATGGAGTTGTTTGGAAATGTAAGATACCTATATAAAAAATTATATGTTTTAACTATTATGTTGTAATGATTATCAATTTATTTAATTTTGATTGTGTGCAAATGTGCTCGTGTGAAAAACTAAATTTTATTTCTAATTTTTACTTTTTCAGACACTAAAGACATCGATGGGATATTTATCTGCATTGCTTACAATAAAAGACGGATAATAGAAAGGAAATAATCTTAAAAATAGTACAGGATTTTGCATAATTGATTACTATGCATTTTCGGATAATTATATAACCAAGTTTTACATATGTGCTGTTTGTTTAATATAATTTTTACTACACAAATATATTTCTACGTAGCAAAGCAAACTATTTATTAATTTCTGTTTGATCATGAAAGTGAAAAGTCATGAAAAGATTTTTGAAAAAGTAACGAGTACAAATTAAAGAAAATTATCTCGTCAATCATTGTGCTTCAATCTTTTTTGCAGAAATAATTTGCCTCCTAAAAGAGGTGTTTGTAAGATTCTTTAATAGGACGAAAATGGCACAAGATAAATTGTAGATAAATTAATTCAAAATCTTAATGAAATTTTTAAAATAAAAGACAAACTGCTCAACTAATGAATCTAATGAATAAAAGTGCAATTTTTAGTTTCTATTGTTGATATTATTTAATATAGAAATGCAGATTTTTTAATTAACTCGTGTAACTTTTTTTCAACGCTGTTGAAATATTAAAAAATTCTTAATCCACACACAAACAAACATCTGATTAATAATATAGTAAGTACAGTGTATCGAGATGATTTGTTGAAGTAAATTTCCGACTTTTTAATAATTTATACTATTATTCTGTATTAATCGCATGACGTTTGCACTTACAAAATCCAGTCTGACGCAATGGTCTAGATATTAAATCACTTCAAAAAGGATAAAAATTATAGAACTAAGGAATTTTATTTCGGGTTGCTAGTTGAGCACACCCAGGATATACTACTGTTCTACCTGTGTTAACAGATAAAAATGAGCAATGTTTTCTTTTATATATAGTGACGCAATGATAATTTTATTTACGTACTTATATTTGTAATTTAAATAATTCAGTATCGTATTTTGCAGAGAGAATGAAAGTTGCATATGTTTTAACTTTCCGTCCGTGTTGTTTCCTAATCCCTCCTTGATGTATTCAGTTTTCATATTATTTTATATTATTTATCTGTATAATCTTCACGTTCTTTTCGAGTAACATGCTCCACATGCAACAAAATATAATTTATTGTAATTCGACGTGGGAAATCAAAAAGGGATGAAAAATATTACACGTGAGTTTTCCTGATACAACACTAAAAGGATCTGTGAAGTTAGCACGACATTCTTTTAATATAAAAAAAAACAATTACAGTTTCTGTAGCATTTTTCATAGTTCTACAGTTCCTTATAAAAATTAAAAAAAACTTTTGTAATTTTTATACCAAAAAACCAAAAATAAAAAAATGTGCTAACTTCGCGAATCTAGCACGTCCCCTTCTAAAGTACAAGACGACGATAAATATTACCATTTTTGGCAACAGTTTCCGTCAGTACTACTCGAGTTCTACCATTGTGTGTAATTTGAAAACAAAATTCCAACAATTACCAATTTTTTACATACTTCAAGTATTAAACACAGCACGACACTTGGAGAAAAAGTGTTGTGCTGAACCTTTACCGCAGTTCTAGCGACACTTCTCGCTAGTTCTAGCAGAGTTCTATGCTTTACAATCATTTTTAAACAGAGTTCCGGCGGTTGTCGGAATATTTTTAAACAATTTTTTAATCTATGTAGCACGACACTTGGAGAAAAAGCGTCGTGCTGAACCTATATTGCAGTTCTAACGATAGTTTGTATGATAGCAGGCTACAGAGATTAAAAAATTGTTTAAAAATATGCAGCTGCCGGAATTCTGATTAAAAATGATTGTAGAGCATAGAACTCTGCTAGAACTAGCGAGAACTGTCACTAGAACTGCCGTGCATTTTCAGCACGACACTTTTTCTTCAAGTGTCTGTGTTTAATACTCAAAGTGTGGAAAAAACTAGTAATTGTTGGAATTTTGTTTTCAAATTACACACAATGGTAGAACTCGAATAGTACTCATGGGAACTGTTGCCAAAAATGGTAATATTTATCGTCGTCTTATACTTTAGGGGGGAAGGTGTCGTGTTAACTTCGCGAATTTAGCACGACATTTTTTCATTTTTGGTATAAAAATTACGAAACTTTTTTTATTTTCATAAGAAACTGTAGAATTAAGAAAAGTACTACTGGAACTGTAATTGATTTTTTTATTAATAGAATGTCGTGCTAACTTCATAGATCCACACTAAAATCACTAGCTTTGAAAATGTAATTATTTTTATCTTTATGTAGACGTACGATATCATGTCCGTAAGTAAATAAATTTTTTCCACGATATATCTACAATCTCGAATATAATTTCGTTTTGTTTCATTGCCATCTCTTTGCAGATTACCAGAAACTGTTAAAAACTGAGGATAAATCGCTGCTAATCGAATATTCTCATCGAGCAAGAGGTTTGTTTATGGCCGAAAAGCAGCTGTTGTATTCACTTCGTATTCAATTCAGCGTAAGATGATTATATACGTACGATGTTTAGTATCGATTTGCTATCGATTGTTGATTCAACGGATTTAGAGGAATAGTCACGGATGGTAACGACTAAATCCTTTGTATACTGAGCAAGCGCAAATCAAGACGAATTGATGTAATCGCCAAGATACGATTCAGTCAAACGATAATTTTCGCTATGTGAAATTCGATGAATGCCAACAAAAATAGAATATGTTTTGGAAAACTATTAAAAATTTTGCTTCATGATATTTTAATAAAAATATTTAATAGACCTTCGATTTTAATAGAGAGAACTAATAAGGAGGAACAGTGATCTGAAAAATCCAATTATCTAGATTTTCCGAAATTTAATATAATCCCGAAATTTAATATTGTCTGTGAGGCAACTATCATGTTACCGTGTTACGGCTAAAATATATCAATTGGTGTTGTGTTGGGCTGCAAACACGGCTAATGTAGTAATACTGAAGTGCACAGGCCCTCCACCTTAACCAATGTACATAGTCTATCGATTACCTTACGAATTATTGACGGGCCATTCAAATTTTAACGGCTTGTCCAAGTTTTAAATATTCTTAAAGTTCTCGGATTTTGTTCTCGGATTTTTCGAAATTTGATAAATCGGGGTCCGTAAAATCGAGGATCTATTGTAATTATATTTTGTAAAAAATTTATGATATAAAAAAATATCAAAATCAAATTTGTTCGATTATATGAGTGAAATTATTAATCAAAAACTTTATTCCAGTTTAAATACTGTAAAACTTAAAAAAAAATTAATTATTGCTAAATCATTATTTGTATTGACAATTGTATTGGCAATTATTTATTAGATCGAGAAGGAATTTCTCGCATTAATTTGTTTCGAATTTATTTCATTGTACCGCAAGCAGTCTATAGATGCTCTATAGAACTTTATGTTTCACGAAAGTTTGTACGAGTTGGATAAAAGTTTGAACTATAGCAAAAAAACATGCCCGTAAAAAAAATGTTCGTACTTTCAACGTAAAAAGTGACAAAAAGTAACAAACTTTTGGAGAGGTAACGTTGGATATAGTTCGGTATAGATGGAAACAATTGTGTTTGCAAACGAATTGTCTTTTGTTCTTTCTGTAATATAGAGTTCTGGAAAACTTTAATTCCCAGAAAAGTGAAAAAAACTAAAACATTTTTCGTCAAGTTAATAATACAAATATTGTAAAAAAATTCTAGCTCTTAATAATATTTTTTCTAAAATTTTTGTTTTTTAGATTCGAATTATGCGTTTGCCTTCAGTCGCCAATGTTTGCGGCTATTAGGCGTCTACATATTCCTTTGAGTGATTTTCATCGGCCGAGAATAAGATTTATAATTGTGGCTTTTGTTTTGAGCTTTTACGTGATTATGCCGCAAATTACAAACATAATTCGTGCTTGGAGTAATGTCTCTTATGGTGGAACACGTCGCTTCTACGAATTTTAGTCTGATGGGACTGTGCAAGTTTGTCATAACATGGTATTACGGTGAAAGTAAGTTATTATTTTGTAATAATAAAGATATTTAAATATGTCAATTTTTAAATAATATAAAGACATCTACAATGGCTTATTTAAGATTAAGTTTCTGTGTGCAAGATTGTTCAATAATATTTTTATATAAAAATTGCTTGCTTTAAAAACTTATTATATGTGTACTAATATATCATGTTTAATTTGAAAGCACTTCAAATGCTGGAAATATCAGTCATGAACGATTGGATAACTACAAAGAAGGAGTGGAAGCGAAATACAAAATGAACAAAGCGTGATAGAAGCTTATCTTTCAGATTTTACGTGTGCTTGACATCTAACAACCACGTTTTACATATGTTCAAATCTTCTAAAATTTTATCGAAATATTCATCTGCCTCAGCGAAGTTTGATTTATCCCTACAACGTTCGTCTATCTCTACAACTTTCAAAAAAGTTTAAACTATGAAATCATCTACTTTACTCATTATCAATTTTTCGGCGGCATATATTCGGCTTTAATTTATTGTATCGAGTTTGGTCTAAATACTTTTGCTTATAATTGACTACCATTGATTTTCAAATAATTGAGTAAAAAGATTTATAATCACTGGCTGTAATATAATTTTTCACATTTCTATGCAGAAAAATAAACTATTTACTTGTTTTTGTTTAATAATAATATAAAAAGTTAAGCAAATAATAAATTAAATATTTTTAAAATTAATATTAATCACTTATTTCTTTTTCTATATTACTGTAATAAATACCTTGTTAACAAGCGACTAAATAATGATTTTCATTCATCAAACACGATAGTAATTCAGCAGTTGACGGCGGTTTCACCAAAGTTATAATTTGCATATGTATTATGAACAATACATTTTTCACGGATCGATTGAGAAATGCCGCGAAGAGTTCAATGTGAAATAGCAGCTTTCTCTGACTTAACTTTACGCAGGGTAACTACACTTTCTACTTGAGCATGCGTGATCCTGAGGGAAGGGATGAAAAAAGTCGACAACAAATACATATACATAATACGTCAGTCGTTGCGCCGTCGACATCCATCAAGTATCGATGGATGCTGATCGAGGTATGTGTGATAGAAACGCTCATACACTTGTGCAAACATTAATAGATAACAAAATTAGCATCTACAAACATTTGAC